CACGGAACGCGATCCTCATCTTTATCAAGTCATAAAACATTTCGGTTCCACTGCTTCCGAAGCCTCAGCTTCAGAAAAAGTTTTTACTTCTAATTCGATGATTTCTTCACTTGATAATGCATTCTTTTCCGCATCATGTTCATATGCTTCCAATGCTGTTTATTCGCCATTTTTCATTCTCGTCTTCAAATGTTTCGTTCTTACTGCAACCACGCAGAGACTGCAGAAAACGTTTTTCCTAACGATAATATTCATATAATTTTATGTAATACTTTCCCGTTTCTATACAGTTTTATGTATAGAATGAGAAACATTATTATATAGTATATTATTAGAAGACTTCTCCCCATAGCCTTGCAGAATGATTCTATGCATCGCCCAGCGACGTAACAAATCTAGAAATGCTTTTGGATACCAAGCACGTTATTTTCATTTTGGAAGAGAAGTGGGCAAGGACCATTTCTGCTGTCGATGTCGAAGAAGCGCGATCTCTGTTATTATTTATGGAGTCACCCAAGGCGATGTGTTTTCACTTTTGCTATTCAATAATGTCCACCATTTTTTCTATGCAACTGTGCTGACTCTTGAAAAACCGATGGTCTCATTCTGGACGGAAGGCGCAGTTCAAGACATCCACTTGGATATCTTGCTGACCTACAGTACATTATTTTAGTTACTAGTGCAGGGAGCGTGCTACACAGCTGCATGAGTCTTCTCTTAATTAACGCCCTTATACGGCACCCATCTAGCGCAGCTGATCTTCAAGTAGAATAGGGATGTAGAGCACTTGAAGAGGTAGACAAATCTAAATACCTCAATCACACCATCTTATGGGATAGTATCATTCAATCATACTTGAATAGGAGAATCGGTTAAGCCTCGCATGCTTTTGGAAACCGGTCCAATATTTGGAATGAAAATGGAGTGTTCTTTTCTACAAAAACAGGTTGGATTCTATGCATAATTCGGGTTAATTGGCAGGAGGGTGTAATGAATGACTCCATTCCCTTTGAGTCACAGGTGACTTCAATAGACGTGGGTATAAAGAAAAGGCAATCGGCCCTGTTAAGTAAACTTTTTGAGCATGGATCATTTACAGCAGGCCATCAGCTCCATGTACGAGAGCCAAAACATGACAGACATCGACCGGGGTCCAGCATGCAGCAGTAAAGGAATAAGGTAAAAGCAGATCTGCTTTCGAATAAGAATATTTTCTTCTACGATCGATGCCATCTAGCAAGTGTTGGAAAGCTTCGATTATAGCGACATTACAAGCCAGAGGCGTGCGGCTTATGCAAACCGCTCAAGAGATTAACTCAGAAATCTGGACGACAATTTGCGGAACACCGTTGCTAGGTGGTGTGCGAGTAACATTGGCGAGTTTAGCAATTTTTTATACCTCAAACATTTTTCACGGCCCTTTGCAGGATAATCTGTGGAAGTCAAATTTATATGTACCTACTTGCATCTCCCTGATGGGAAGGAAAGGCACAACTAGTTTTATGGTGCTGTAGCGATTTGGTTCTATACAGTATCCCCACGCAGCAGTGAATACCATCCAAGCATTTTTTAATTCAGTCACTCGGCCAAATCAGTCAATCCGTTTCGATGACAGCCTATACTTCACGGGCCGCTGAGGCAGCAGAGTAAGTCTCTGAAGTTCTCGATCCTATGCCAACGTGTGAGCCTTGGCCGAATATAATCACAGTCTTGAGCCAAGTTCAATCTCATTGATGGTAGTAAAATTTATATTTGTCACCACCGGAAGCCATTAGCTGGCTCAAAAATATGGACACTTCTACAGAGTGTTGCTAATACCGGCTTTCTGGACGATCCTCATGAAAAAATTCTGCTCACATTTGCTTATTATTTCATGTCATTTGCTGAATGCATTGTGGTTTTCCACCAGGTCTCAGCGTCCTTCCAACAGAGCAACGTCTCATCATTTCTTTCAATGTCGTGACCAAGATATACGATTTTCACTCCTAGATGCCTGTAGACCACGGGTGTGTGGTAAGCCTTTCCAAAACTCATTTATTTGTTCGAGAGTCCTTCAGAGTAAGTCAAAGTAACCATCTATGGCGCCACATTAAGGAACTCCAACGCATTTATTTACCTACTTGCACATTTTCCTGACAGACAAAAATAAATGACGAGATGCCAGCGAGGTCTGCTGATCCGGACAAGAAATTCGTACAGGGAAATAACTTGCCCGCATCTAACACGGCCAAAGAGATGTTCTTGCTATGAAAAGTAATGCGACTGCTCTGGACAAACTATTGTAGTCCACAAGATATTAGGAATGTGAATCATTCAGAAATCAGAGAGATATCCGAACCAAAGTATTCCGTCACCCTCATCGGTATGCATGTTGATCGCCCAGTGTCAGTCAGAACATTAGCAAATTATGGCCATTGCGACTTAAGCTCTCACATTCAGCAACCCATAAGGCGAACGAGTTATACACAACTCGTTGATATTAAATTGCATGAATCATTGCATCGTCACTGAAACATTCATATCCAAATCACCTGCATGGCTTCCAAAATTGCTAAGCAACCTCAGAAGAAATGCCATATATTTTGTTAAATATGACAAAGCTAAAGAGAATTTATTCATCCCAATCAGTACCAATTGGACTTGCATCTCATAAACTCTTCTGAACTAACAGAAAACCAATCTACCAAACTACAAAAAAATGAAAAAATAAAATGCATATTGGACTCAAATACCTTCGCGTGGGCTCCTACTGAGAAGTCAGCAAGACGACATCGGATTCATTGCACTGAACACAGCTCCGATCCCTGGATGGCACCGGAAAAAGTAGGATCTGGTAGGACGCCTTCAATGTTGACGTAGAGGTTCTAGCCCGGCCGGTAGGGTACGATTACAAACGGTGGAGGAAAGAGTGACTGATTCTTGTGAGGACATTCGTGTGAAAGACAGATGTGAAAACCAGCGAACCGGGATGTCACTGAAGTCTACTAATCCAGAGCTGGTAAGAGTCGTAACAAAAACAAATATTTTCTCTCCAAACCAACATGAGAACAGCTAGGATTCTCTTTACAGGGAAATGGGGAAGGGGGGGCAGATCTTATCGTATTCCCGAGCTACATGAGAGATGCAATCATCTGCTCGACAAAAAGGTGTTGATAAATGAGGATTGTGGCACCTCCGCAGACAGCCATATTCTAAACGGTCGTTATGGGAAACTACAAGTTTATTCACCCAGCCACGATTGAAACTGTGGATTGGATTTCGTCACTGAACTTGATACATAGGAGGGAAGGGAAACTTATAACTGTTGGAATGTAGTTCTTCCCCAAACTTTCATGATATGGTCATTTGTAGCACTCTTTCCTTTTCATTAAGTTAATGCAAAGGAGGCGCTGATGTCCATTTCCGTGCTCGTTTTCACCAAGAGTGTCTCACTTTTTAAGTCAGAGTTGATAGCAGCTATTTGGAGAGGTTAGAAGATAGTCTCATGTTTTTTCAGGTGGTTTGAACGTGTAGTACTCATTTTTCACTTGTGAAAGAAGAAAAGCGAGTAGCTCTACCAGAGCTGGAAACCAGGATATCTCAAATTCTAGTTTGATGCTCTACCGACTGACTCCAGTCGGGAGTAACGTGTGGTAAATTCTCTACAACACGGAACTGTTGGCTAAAATCAAGTCTGCACCTCATCTTGAATTGGACCAGGTACCTCCGGAGTTTGGGGCTTACCTCAAACGCACTATGTCACCACGAACATTGACACATGCACACGAAAGACTCTGGTGGAAAGAAAGTCAAACTGTTTGAAACTCTAGAAACTAAGCAATCGAACTAACGGTTGGTCTCAGGAATTCGGACTTCTAAGACAATACAATTTTATCAAGATTCAAAGTAGGAGCACTGTCCCTCGTGTTCGCTGTTTCTGAGTCACGTGAACTTTTGTAAAGCCAGTAATTATTTTGCTCATCAGATTACACATGAATCAGAGCTTTCCTACAAACATGAATCCACTCAAATGGAATAATTCAATAAAAAATATATTTTTAATGTTAGGGAGTATATATTTATGTTAGAAGTTATTAATGGCAAGA